TAAACTGATACTCGAAAGCAAGAAATAAAGAAGTAAATAGAAATAAAGAAATGCATTTAGAAAGATAGGAACAAAATAAAATTTGTGTTATTTATATCACTGGTTTTCTTTTTACTGCTTTAAAGGATTAAGAAGAAATTCTAAACAGAATTTATCAGATAAACAGCTCTAAAATATGAATTATAAATAGAAAATTTATTTTAATTAAATTCGTGTTACATTTACATAAAAAAAAACACAAATCTTATGCAATCTGGTTACTTTATGAGTTATTCCTAATGTTACTTTATAAGAACTCATGTTAAAAGAAAAGAATATATATATGTATATACTAATAGAACAGTATTTATGATCTGAATGGAATTCGGAAATGACATATCATTACAGTTCACATAGTTTGATTTACAATAATTTTGGTATTAAAATCATATTACATTTGTACTGATTTAGAGATTACTCTAACGAGAATTATAGGCAATACATAACAACTCAGAAATCTAACTATTAAACTATATAAATAAAATATTAATATAACTATAAATTACAATAACCTTTAAATAATATTTAATAATATACTCATATTGTTATGAATACTGTTAAAAATATTCCTACAAAATAATTAATCTACTTGGGTTTTGTAAATTTTTCATTATTCAATAATTAATTGAAATCTTTAATGTATTTTTTAAAAAGTCGGTATTTTAAAGATTTTGAATAAGAATAATAATTTAAAATTCAAATAGGTTTAAATCAGGGATCACTTCTATATCCTAGTGTCATTATACATCAAATCATTTCTAATGGAATATAAACTGATAATCTCTATAAATCTACTCAGATTATATTTAAGCTATCAAATTAACAATTAGAAAGTTTTTGATAAGTCTCCAGAGTCTATATGTTGGTTGCAACTAGAATGTATGCCAATATTAAATTTTAAGTTGTTAAGCATTGTTCGAATAACTTGTTTACATTGTGACTTTTGGCATATAACCAATCGAATTTGTTATTAAAAACAACCTAAAAAATAATACATTAAATCTCGAATCTTTTTTATAATTAAGCTTATGGCATCTAAGAATAAAATCATATATGTAGTTATAAAAATCATATGAATTTTAACTTAAATGATTTTTATAATTCCATTATTATGCTTATCATTATTTGCAAATCTATTTTCAATATCTNTTATTTCATTATTGATGTAATGTTTCAGAATTTTGAAGTTATATACCGTTCATAAGTCAGAAAGGAAAGAAAAACTGATTTTTTGTGTATCTTTCTACAATACAATTAAGTAGGAATTGGTTATTCTTCTATCATTGACTTTTGCCTTCTATTTAAATTGTTTCTTATATTAACACTAAGATTATTATTGATAGTTAGTTTTAATTATTTAGTTTATTGTTTCATTCTCACAATAGATTAAGCCTTTGGTGTTAATTGGAATCCTTTGTATGCGTTTTTGTTTTTAGTTAAATATTTTTGTATCGTGCAAAGTGTTTGTTAGGAGCATACTTCTCATCTGATATCATAGGTTGTGTTGTTGAAATTTGTAAGAATTCTAGTGTCAATTTGAAGAAAATTATATTTGTAAATATTTTATTTATTGTTTTCATTTAAAAACCATACATCTCACAGCTATAATGTGTATTATAGCACAGTTTTATAGTATAATCCTATCTATTGTTATTCATGTTCTCACTGATGTGAATAATTGATACTTTGAATGCTTAGTTATTATTTTTGATTAATCAAATCACATATTAACTTAAATGATTTTTATAATATTATTATGCTTATCATTATTTGCAAATCTATTTTCAATATCTTAATTAATATTTTGTAAAAAAAATTTCAAAGATTAGCTTTAAACACTTTGTGTTATATAATAAGCCTCAATAGGAATCTTATCTGATGAATATACACAGCAAAACTTCTCTTAACGAATACTTCTTTATGACGGACGGTTTTTTTGATTTCTTAAGTGTCCGTTATAGAAGATTCACTGTATATAAATAATTTTTATAAAGATAGCTATGTAGTAAACTTGAGGACAAATTAAATTTATCAATAATTAATTAATTAAGAATAAATCGTATAAGTTAATATAAGTTTCTCATTTAAATTATACAGCTATAGTTTAATTATAAAAATAAAAATTATTTTCTGTGAGTTCGTAAAACATTGTAATTTGAAATAACAATTTTAAAAACATTATAGTTATTTTGAATTTAAGAAAGCAGAGAATATTTCGAATTTAAAAACTTTACAAATATTACTATTACTCATCAATTTTTATATTATTATTACCAGCTTAGCACGGTTTTGCTGAGTGAAAAGTAATAAAGACAAACATTAAAATTAAAATCGCATTAAACGTTTGATTATTTTACTATTGTTATGTTTATCACGAAGTATCAAGAGGATGAAATCAGGTAGAGTAGTGGGGTATCCAGATTTTATAGTAACGGATATTTTCTACAGGGTCCTAGCGAGTAACTGTGTAAAACTTGATGCAGATCGATCAAAGGGTTTAGGAGTTAATAGTTTAGATTTTATGGTAGTCTGTATTTCCGCAAGATCTTAGAGAGTAACTAAAAAAAATTTAGAAAATTCGCTCAAAGGTTTTAGTAGTGAATAGAAAACAGACAGTATATTAAATATACATAAATTGTACATTTCTATCAAAATAATCAATCATAAATTTTCTAATTAAAACTTCTTCAATGATTCTTTAAAAGAGAACAAAAGTTATAGATTTTGTACAAGTAAATTTAGGTGTATATATTGTATTATTNATTAGATAAATAGATGCTTTCTTCACATATTTCATACCTATATTAATTATACATTTTCAGTAACTGTAATTTATTTAATTATGTTGTTAAAAAATATACCTACATTTTTAAAACAAATAAATTGATTTAGAATTCCTAACTTGGAAAGTCTTCTGAAAAAAGTTAATTACAATATACATCAGTGGCTTATCTCTGGAGATTTGAAAGTAATGTGCATGTTATTAGGTCAGCAGTCAGGTTATACCAAATTTCCATGTTTTTTCTGTGAGTGAAACAGTAGAGCCAGGAATTTGCATTGGGTTCAGAAGCAATGGCCTAAAGAATATTGTGAGGAGCAGCTTGGTAAACCCAGAGAAAATGCTGCTACTACTCCTGCATATTAAGCTGGGACTAATGAAACAGTTCATAAAAGCAGTCTTCAAAGGATGGAGACTGCTTTTTGTATTTATGCAAAAAGTTTCCAGCCTTGTCTGAAGCAAAACTAAAAGGTGTATTTACAGGACTTGATATATGGAAATTAATATCAGACACAGAACCTCTTTCTTCAATGAACAACAAAGAATGGGATGCCTGGATTGCATTTAAGGCAATAGTTTCAAAAGTTTCTAGGAAACAATAAATATCCTGATTATAAAGAAATAGTAGAAAACTTGTTAATTAAGTACCATGAACTGGGCTGCAGTATGAGCCTCAAAGTACACTTTCTGAACTTGCAATTGGATTACTTTCCTGCAAATCTAGGGGTTGCAAATGAAGAACAGGGTGAAAGATTCCATCAGGACATTAAAGAGATGGAAAGAAGATACCAGGGACAGTGGGATGTCAGTATGATGGTGGATTACTGTTAGATGATGCATAGGGACATTCCAGATACAGAACATACGAGAAAGTCCACAAAACACAGGTTTACGGCTAAAAATGTCAGAACTGATAAGCACCAAAGCTAATTTGTGTCTTTTGTATTTTTGTACCCATGCATGTTAATAATAAACTGAAATTGGTAATTTTTCCATGTTAAAATAAATCAAAACACTATTATACGTATGTATGTATGTCAAATAGTATAATTTTAGAAATACTGTATATATAATAAAATTACTAGCTTAATTATTTTTAAATAATATGTCCACAAGCATAATTTTATAATGTGGATAATTTTATTATTTAATTGGTAATATAACTAGAAATGATATCAGGAGGGCCAGAATTAGAATGCAAATCCACATTCATCCCTCCTACCACTGTGGTATAGCCATTGTTGCTGTGGATGAAGATTAAACTTTTAGATATTGCATATACAAGAGTATAAGAGAAATTGCCACATTCAAATCTTTTTTCCAGTATCAATTCAATTTTTCTTAATTTATTTATTTTTAAAGGTAAGAAGGGGCCTCTTCCCATTTATGTTATTGTATTTAATGATCAAGATTATTTAGCATTATAGATAGGTGCATTACAGTTTTAGTGATTAGACCTTTAGACTAATTTAATTAAACTTATGGAAAAATGTGAGAAAATCAATGATCTGAGGACAATTTTGAGCTCATAGCTCATACTAAACTCATGAGTGAATTAACAGTTACAAAATAATTTCAAAATTATCAGAATTATATATTAATTTTAAACAAATATATAAACATAATGATCACACAATGCACAAAACCAACACCAGCAGAATGAAAAGAAAAACGTACTAACATTTTCATCTATATAAAAATAGACATCATTAGGTAAAAATGATATAGAACAAAATGGCTAACAAAAATCAAATGTTTTTTCAGATATTCCAACTGATTACAGGAACATCTAAAAAAGTATTCGATTTTTGTTAGCCATTTTGTTCTGTATTGTTTTTTTATATAGACGAAAATGTTAGTACTTTTTCTTTTCAATCTGCTGGTGTTGGGTTTGTGCATTGTGTGTTTATACATTACAGTTTTGGAGAGATACTAAACATAATGATTATTTTTTGTCATACTTTTTATATTCAATGTTTTTCTTAACTTAATTACTGTACATTACTCTAAAATATTTAATCATTAAGATTGTCTTCTTGCAAGATTTTATATTCTATTGTATGTATTATGTGTGAGTATTAAATATTAATGAATAATTTATCATATTTGCATAATATATTATTAATTTATTTTTTGTTTAAAATTATAAAAAATTTAGAAGAAATTTATATTTTATTTTTAATGTATAGGTAGAGAATATGATAAAGATGGTAATTTACATCAATGGTGGAAAAATTCTACAATTCAAAGTTTCCAAGAACGTATAAAATGCTTCATTGATCAGTATTCTTTATATCAGTATGGCGGTGAACAAGTATGTTTTAAAATAACAGTTTTACATAATTTTATTATTTACAAATCAAACAAATTCATATATTCACTTTTGAAGTTATCTACACTGATAATAATAACTGACTAATAACACAGGTCTGCAGTGGAAAAGCTGTTTGACTTTTTTTACATGATCCTTATGTTGTGTTATTTATGTGTTATGGTCTTTTATGCTGAATTCAAAAATGTTACTAGTTTTCCTCTATCATGTAAGTTCTTTCTACAAAACCATTTTTATTAGATAAATAGATGCTTTCTTCACATATTTCATACCTATATTAATTATACATTTTCAGTAACCGTAATTTATTTAATTATGTTGTCAAAAAATATACCTACATTTTTAAAACAAATAAATTGATTTAGAATTCCTAACTTGGAAAGTCTTCTGAAAAAAGTTAATTACAATATACATCAGTGGCTTATCTCTGGAGATTTGAAAGTAATGTGCATGTTATTAGGTCAGCAGTCAGGTTATACCAAATTTCCATGTTTTTTCTGTGAGTGAAACAGTAGAGCCAGGAATTTGCATTGGGTTCAGAAGCAATGGCCTAAAGAATATTGTGAGGAGCAGCTTGGTAAACCCAGAGAAAATGCTGCTACTACTCCTGCATATTAAGCTGGGACTAATGAAACAGTTCATAAAAGCAGTCTTCAAAGGATGGAGACTGCTTTTTGTATTTATGCAAAAAGTTTCCAGCCTTGTCTGAAGCAAAACTAAAAGGTGTATTTACAGGACTTGATATATGGAAATTAATATCAGACACAGAACCTCTTTCTTCAATGAACAACAAAGAATGGGATGCCTGGATTGCATTTAAGGCAATAGTTTCAAAAGTTTCTAGGAAACAATAAATATCCTGATTATAAAGAAATAGTAGAAAACTTGTTAATTAAGTACCATGAACTGGGCTGCAGTATGAGCCTCAAAGTACACTTTCTGAACTTGCAATTGGATTACTTTCCTGCAAATCTAGGGGTTGCAAATGAAGAACAGGGTGAAAGATTCCATCAGGACATTAAAGAGATGGAAAGAAGATACCAGGGACAGTGGGATGTCAGTATGATGGTGGATTACTGTTAGATGATGCATAGGGACATTCCAGATACAGAACATACGAGAAAGTCCACAAAACACAGGTTTACGGCTAAAAATGTCAGAACTGATAAGCACCAAAGCTAATTTGTGTCTTTTGTATTTTTGTACCCATGCATGTTAATAATAAACTGAAATTGGTAATTTTTCCATGTTAAAATAAATCAAAACACTATTATACGTATGTATGTATGTATGTATGTATGTATGTGGTGTATATATATATATATATGCTTTTATGAATTTTTGACAAAAACTTTGTAAAGCCTTTGTATCCAAACATTATGTGATTGAAACATTTGAGAGATCATTTTTAGGTGTATTTGTAGTTGTTAGTAAAAATCACATTTCAAAGTCCAAACAGTTTTTTTATTAGTTGAAATTTGCAGACCTGTGTAATAGTATGAGATAAGAAAATAAAGACTACAATTAGTTGAAATTTTGATTTTATTGGTTTTGACATTAAAAGGATATGTTAAAACAGTTAAAAAATATGTAAATTGAAGATTTATTAATAATAAATCATCCAATGTTGTTTGCCTGCTGTTTTTTTTTTCCATTATTGTCTTTAATAACAGCTAGCATGTAATTGAAGTAAGAAATGTGAGCAATTTAAATTACTTTACCATGAGTAAATTTATGTACTACTAAAAATCCAAGATTGTTTGGTTGTAATTAAATACAGAAAAAATGGCACAAAATACCACCACATTTCTAAGAATCCTATACCTCATATGAAAATAGAAATAAAATAAAATAAGTTTTCTTTAAGTCAGTCAATGGATTTCTGAGTTATTTCCATGTTTTCTGCTGATGTCATCATTCTGTAAAATGTCATTTTTTAAAGTTGCAGATTACTGCCTTATAACTATACGTAAATTGTCTCACAGGTTAATTTGGGTGTAATATTGAAATTATCTTGTGTTTTCTATAACTTCTGAGTAGTAGGTGACTCTGGTAGCCAATAGGTAGAGTAGTATATAACTATAAATTTTGTTATAACTTAGATATTGTGAATTAAAATTTATTATTTATATATATGAAATTGAATATTGTCTGTCCTCTATTCACTTCTAAACCCTTTGACCAATAGATTTTTTATAGTTACTCTCCAGGACCCTGTGGAAAATAAAGGGTAAGTCTAGGTGACAAACAGCTAAATAAGAAAGTCAATGACATAGTTTGTTTCATTTAAAACAGATTTTGTCATTGGCTTTCTTATTTAGCTGCATGCCATCTAGACATGCCCTTATACTACTATAAATGTTTGACATCACATTCAAATGATTTCATCCCCCTATTAACTTCTAAACTATTTGACAAACCCAGGTTAAAGTTTTCATAGTTACTCTCTAGGACACTATGAAAAATATAGGCTACTAAGATACCTCAACAAGCCACTTCTCCTCTTGATTTCATCTTCTTGAAACTTTGTGATAAAGTTTTGAATTCTTTCTAATTGTAATCTAGAAGTTGTATTTGATGGAAAAAGCTGAAAGTTAGTTTTGGTTGGGAAACTCTTTATCTTTTTGTTTTTTGAAAAAATGAAATACATAAAATATTTCTTTATTAATAAAAACAGTTTGAAAGATATTGTCTACTGTTAGTAAAAATAACATTAATTTTGTAGGGTTAGAAACTAAATTTACAAGCCCTGTAAATTTTCTTCTAGTCCAGATTAAAATCCTCAGCTACCTCTTTCAAAGGCTCTGTATAGAAATACAGAATGCATTGAGTCTATGAGTGTTAATTTGGAGCAAAATTAAAATTAAGTTAAAGAAGTTTAACTTATGGAGAGTCTATTGATAAATACAATTCCATTTTATAACTTTTATATACAGTGTATATAAAAATCAATTTATATTATTTGAAATAACATAAAATAAATGCATCAGTTGATTTAAATAAAATCATATTTGAAGTACAATACAATAAATACATTTATATTTATAAAGAAAATTAGAAAATGATAATCATTATTTGCATGTGTTTTTTTCACATTCAAACAAATTTTTCTATTTTAGCATTTGTTAATTTATGTAAAATATTATAGGTAAAAGGAAAGCAAACTGTTGGTGAAAATATTGCTGATAATGGTGGTCTAAAAGCAGCATTCAATGTAAGTATAAATAAAGTTTAAATAAATTTAATTGATAAAAATTAGAAAATAAAATCAACGAGCTGAAACAATTATGAACTAACATGCCCTTTACTGCCCTAAAATATAGAATTCATACATTATATAACATATACATAGGTATGGTGTTTGTTGTGAGAAGCTCATACAAATCCACGAATGAAAAGCTACAAAAAGAAAGACACAAAATTCAATTATATCACACAGTATTCTTTATTCTCTCTGAACTGGTTCTTTTTCTTTTTCTTTTTTTTTTTTTTTTGGAATTTCAACTTTACAAACTTTATGCCTTTCTTCTATACACAAAGAAAAAGGAACAGGCTTGTCCTCCACTATCACCGGGGTTCGTAAACGTGACAATCATCAAAATAACAAAAACTAATTATATAACTAACATCTAACTTATGTCTATCTTATAACTAATGAAAAATAAGAGTATAAGACAGGTGGATATGGAAACAAAATGTAGGGAGAATGGAAATACCCAAGATTTCTTTTGATATGTATATACGCTTTCGGATTATGGTGCCAACTTGATACCTTTCACTCCAAAGTCTATACGGCTAGATCTTGATATTGAAAAAATTCTACCTTTTCCTTGGATTATTTGTTGTCCTTATGACTCCCTTTTTACCTTTTTTTTTTTTTTTCCAAAATTGTCTCTTTTCTTTCTTCGTATGTGTGTGGTGTATATATATATATATGCTTTTATGAATTTTTGACAAAAACTTTGTAAAGCCTTTGTATCCAAACATTATGTGATTGAAACATTTGAGAGATCATTTTTAGGTGTATTTGTAGTTGTTAGTAAAAATCACATTTCAAAGTCCAAACAGTTTTTTTATTAGTTGAAATTTGCAGACCTGTGTAATAGTATGAGATAAGAAAATAAAGACTACAATTAGTTGAAATTTTGATTTTATTGGTTTTGACATTAAAAGGATATGTTAAAACAGTTAAAAAATATGTAAATTGAAGATTTATTAATAATAAATCATCCAATGTTGTTTGCCTGCTGTTTTTTTTTTTCATTATTGTCTTTAATAACAGCTAGCATGTAATTGAAGTAAGAAATGTGAGCAATTTAAATTACTTTACCNCCTTTTTTTTTTTTTTTCCAAAATTGTCTCTTTTCTTTCTTCCTCTTTCTTGCCACTCCTTAACCTTAACTTCAGGTCACGAGCACTCCTTTTTCCTTCTGCTTTCTTCAGGATCTTCACCCAGAGTGATTCTTTTTCTGTCCATTTTGCCCCAGGGCCCCACTCTCTCTTTTGTTCTTATTTTCGTGGAAAAGATAATCCTATCCAAGGGCAAAAGGGTTAGACAAGAAAGTTCTAGAAGGAACAAAGAAACAGGAAGGAAGACTAGGATTAATTCAAAATAAAATATACAAAGTATACAATATCGTAGCCAACAGCCACATAGGTATAGTGATTGAAATAGAGGAGTAGAAATGACAATAATCTTCCAGCATTTGTAACCATCTTGATAGAATTATAATGTTCTCGCCTTTGTAATGTCTTTTTGTCCTTTCTTACTTACGTGCCATCACCAACTGTTGTCTTCCCTCACTTCTCCCCTTATTTGTCTCTCTCTCTCATTCTCCTTGATTCCCTCGCAACACCTCGTAAATTTATTGTCTTAACAGTTTAGGAATGTTACTTGTCTAATTAGCTAAATCCCACATATATAATATATAAAATTATATATATAATTTATGAACAAAGCATTAAATTTTTAATGATACTACACATATTTGTGTGTATAGTACTCTCTGGTTATTGTGGACTTCTAGGTACCAAGATACTTGTTTTACTATATCTTCCACTATAACAGGAATGTCTTTTTTTAACCTAAGTAGCAACAGACAAAATAAAATACACTATACAGTATTTGAATGAATATTATAATATAATAAAATGAAAAATATTTACACAAAACACAGAAAAGTTCATCAGTTAATATTGAAATAGTCCATTATTTGCTGTTGCTTTCTGCATCCTCTTCTAATAAATATTTTTTTTCAAGAGTCTGGCTTTTCCCATATGTGATTCCACATTATCTGTAGATTCTAAAAACCTTAGGACAGTCTAATAACTTCCAATGCTTCTTTACTGTTGGAACAGTTTCTTTATTCTTGTTTTTGCCGTCTTCACTCTTGCTTTCTTTCATGGTGTCTTTCACAGCCTCAACAATTGCATCATCTGACAGGATTTCATTTATTATCATGTTAGAATTCATGTTGATAAAATCTTCAACTTAACAAAGTTGTCATTAGCATTAATGTATTGCAACAGATTCTTCATTTGGATCTACGGCTTAAACCAGGGCTTCTTAAACTATGGGTCGCGACCCCATTTGGGGTCGCTTAGCGAAATCTTGGGGTCGCGAGATTTTAATGAAAAATTGTGAGAGTTTGAAAATGGCAAGCTTTGTGTCATAGGTTTCGTGAGTTGCTCTTTGTGTCACTTCTGGTGCAGGGAGACAATGATTTAGCAACACTGATTGTAGTATTAACTAGTGCAGTGTTGTCGCTTTTCCGTGTATTCAGTTGTCTCTTCCATTGTAACACAAGAGACAAGGTAGTACATTATTATTGTTTTTGCAAATTTGTATATATCTTTATTTTATATATTTTTTTGGGGTCGCTAAAAAATCACAATCATAAATGGGGTCGTGAATAAAAAAAGTTTAAGAAGCCCTGGCTTAAACAATTGTGATTGTGTTCTGCACACAACCCTCCCAATTTTTTTGACCTGCAGTTTTTGCAAAAATTATCCAGTGAAATTTTTGAGGCACTTATATAGCACAAAATTTTCAGTGAAATTTATAAATTTAAATTTTTAAGTTTTTAAAAAGAAAATGACTCATTTGAAATGAAAGTTCTATAATTGAGCCATTGCAAATGAAAATGGTTTAACTTTGTATTTTAATTAAAAAATTGAGTTAATGATGACATTAGTTACATTTCTGTGTGATCTTTTTTATAAAATAATTAGACTTTTTATAAAATATAAAACACATTTAAAATCATGTCATAATACCAATATATTATCAACTACTGATATTTTTCAATCAATATAAATGCAAACTTTTAAGTATCTTGATTTAAAAGTAAGTGGACTTAAACTACTTTCATTTGCAACAGGGAATTTGAAAATTATAGTAAGTTAATTATATACAGTAGTAGCTCAGGATACAAAATTAATTCGTTCCAAAACTGAGATCATATCATGAAAATGCTGTAAGGTGAATCATTTTTCCCCATATGATTACATGTAAAATCAAATAATCCATTCCAACATGAAAAACACACTCAAATTAAAGCTAAGTAGTACATTGAAAAAAAATAACTTTAGTCAGGAAAACATTGAAAAATGTGTTTTGTAGTTGTAAATGTATAAATAACCATAATAGAATAATAATTGATAAAAAAAAAAAATTATGTTTTATTTGCACTTTACCTTTGAGGATAGACGACGGTGGAGGTGTGAACTGGTGGTGGAGGTGAGGGAGAAGGGAAATGATGTTAAAACTTAACTTACATAACATAATGTAACAATAACTTAAAAATAACTTAACACTAATTTTTTAACTTTTCTGTTTTATATATTTTTTAAAATTTTTTATTCACTGCTTTTTGCTTTCTTTCCTTCACTTCCACCAGCATTTTCACTAGATAGAGGTTGCTTGGTAAAATATCTATCCAAAGAGGTTTGGCTTTGCCTACTTTTTAAAATGTTTCTAAAATGACTTAGGCAAATGTCATTANGCCGCTGTATAACCCACTCCCCATGTATTTTTCGCAATACTTGATAGAGCGTTGGAGACTTGGGCCGCTTTTGCACTAACTTTTTCAACATGTTTTGTCAATAGTAGTTGTTGGTCTAGAACAGAGCTTCTTAAACTATGGGTCGCGACCCCATTTGGGGTCGCTTAGCGAAATCTTGGGGTCGCGAGATTTTAATGAAAAATATTGAAAATAATTTGTGAGAGTTTGAAAATGGCAAGCTTTGTGTCATAGGTTTCGTGAGTTGCTCTTTGTGTCACTTCTGGTGCAGGGAGACAATGATTTAGCAACACTGATTGTAGTATTAACTAGTGCAGTGTTGTCGCTTTTCCGTGTATTCAGTTGTCTCTTCCATTGTAACACAAGAGACAAGGTAGTACATTATTATTGTTTTTGCAAATTTGTATATATCTTTATTTTATATATTTTTTTGGGGTCGCTAAAAAATCACAATCATAAATGGGGTCGTGAATAAAAAAAGTTTAAGAAGCCCTGGCTTAAACAATTGTGATTGTGTTCTGCACACAACCCTCCCAATTTTTTTGACCTGCAGTTTTTGCAAAAATTATCCAGTGAAATTTTTGAGGCACTTATATAGCACAAAATTTTCAGTGAAATTTATAAATTTAAATTTTTAAGTTTTTAAAAAGAAAATGACTCATTTGAAATGAAAGTTCTATAATTGAGCCATTGCAAATGAAAATGGTTTAACTTTGTATTTTAATTAAAAAATTGAGTTAATGATGACATTAGTTACATTTCTGTGTGATCTTTTTTATAAAATAATTAGACTTTTTATAAAATATAAAACACATTTAAAATCATGTCATAATACCAATATATTATCAACTACTGATATTTTTCAATCAATATAAATGCAAACTTTTAAGTATCTTGATTTAAAAGTAAGTGGACTTAAACTACTTTCATTTGCAACAGGGAATTTGAAAATTATAGTAAGTTAATTATATACAGTAGTAGCTCAGGATACAAAATTAATTCGTTCCAAAACTGAGATCATATCATGAAAATGCTGTAAGGTGAATCATTTTTCCCCATATGATTACATGTAAAATCAAATAATCCATTCCAACATGAAAAACACACTCAAATTAAAGCTAAGTAGTACATTGAAAAAAAATAACTTTAGTCAGGAAAACATTGAAAAATGTGTTTTGTAGTTGTAAATGTATAAATAACCATAATAGAATAATAATTGATAAAAAAAAAAAATTATGTTTTATTTGCACTTTACCTTTGAGGATAGACGACGGTGGAGGTGTAAATTGGTGGAGGGAGAAGGGAAATGATACTAAAACTTAACTTACATAACATAATGTAACAATAACTTAAAAATAACTTAACACTAATTTTTTAACTTTTCTGTTTTATATATTTTTTAAAATTTTTTATTCACTGCTTTTTGCTTTCTTTCCTTCACTTCCACCATCACTTTCACTGGATAGAGGTTGCTTGGTAAAATATCTATACAAAGAGGTTTGGCTTTCCCTACTTTTTAAAATGTTTCTAAAATGACTTAGGCAAATGTCATTACTCTGAGCAGCAATACAGCCAGTGTGAACCTTTTTTGGGATGTTTCTTTTCAATAAAATCAGTCACTTTCTGATAATACCTCAAGATTTCCTTTATCAAGTGAGATTCTTCCACAATGAAGCAAACACACGGACTGAGACTATAAACAGAAGTGAATAAAAAATGGCACTGCGAAATAATGTAACGTCGTTTGGTGAGTTTTTTGTTCGTATCGTGGAGCAAAAATATGTTTGAATTTCATGTCGTATCCTGAAAATTTCATATGCTGGATTGTTTGTATCCTGAGGTACTACTGTAGTTAAGTATATAGTAAATTATAAGTATAATTAATTAATAATTATAAGTTAAGTATATAGTAAGAGCAAAGTGCTTTCCTATTTTATTAATGGAATAAATGTAAATGTAAATGTAATTATATTTTGTAAATCATATTTTGTAATAATTATTTCACTCATGGCAATTTATACATATAATTTACTATAAAACTTTGACTAATTTTTAAATATTTGTATTTTTAGGCTTACACAGATTGGGTGAAGGAAAATCATCTGGAATCACCTCTGCCTGGAGTCAACTTAACACATAATCAATTATTTTTCATTGGATTTTCTCAAGTATGGTGTTCATCAAGTACTCCAGAAACCATGCATCTTACCATATTAAATGATGCACATACTCCTGGACCTTATCGGTTTGTATTCTAATATAATATTTTTTGAATTCATTGTTGTTAATATTATGTGAAACCTGTACATTTTGCTTATTATTATCAATCATTTCTAGAGTTATAGGGACCTTATCCAATTCTAAAGATTTTGCCAGAGAGTTTCAGTGTCGTCTAAACACTCCAATGAACCCAGATAAGAAATGTGAAATTTGGTGATGGATGATAGTATCAGGTTAAAATAACTTAATATATTTTATTTTACTATTGATAGATTTAAAACAACTTTTGTTTTACCTCTATATTAACAACTTTACTAAAGTGCATAATAAAAAAAATATATATATAGCCACATTTACTGTTATGAGGAAGTTTGAAAAGAGCAAAGTGCTTCCCTGTTTTATTAATGAAATAAATTAAATGATACAAGTATACAAAAAAACAATAAACATGGCTCATCAACATTTAATTAATCACAGAATTCATATCAATTTCCAAAAAAAAATTATTAAAATGCCATTAAATTCATTTATACTTTTATTTTTGCTACTTTGTACAATAATATATATTTGATAAGGATTATTACATACATAGGAATTAATTATCAAGCCTTTTACGTTGCCAAAATTATGAAATTGTCTATAATTATTTTAAAAATTCAATTCTAAGAAAGATATATAACTAGCTGTTGATAATTTTAAATATTATAAAGCTACAAGTGATTTTAAACTAATGTTGGCACTTGTTAAGAATAAATAAGTGTAACCAATAATAAGTTTTTAAATATGATTATATTAACTATTAAAACCAGAAATATTAAATAAATCTGGTATTTTACTTAATTATTTCATTTAAATTACATTGAACTAAATAAATTTACTTTTTCAGTCACTTTAACTTCAACATTTTTCTGCTTTATTGGAGACTAAATTAATAGCTTTCTTAATTCTGAATAGTTTTAGACCCTTCAGGCTATTATTAACAGTGAAAAATCATTATAACTCTTCTAACTCTACATTCTTTAAATTCATAACAATTTCCAAAAAATGTAGAAAATTGTTGATTTAATTAATTAATTTAGCTATGTTTTAATTTTTAATAACTGCTTAATGAGTTAATTAAAAATATTTAAATAATTTCTTACAGAATATAAAAGTTGTAATCTGACTTCATTGCTGTTCTACTAGGAGAGTGTTTTGATTATAAGAATGAGAATTTTCCTAATGTTCTGATAAACATTTGTTTGTTTATAATTGAAAGATAATGGTTATTTCTTTGTTATTTATATTGTATTATTGTTAATTTTGAATTACTTAATAAGTTTTATTATTATAATGAATTACATTAAAAAATTTTAATATATTACTACATTACATTATCAGATTTAAAATATAATATAATTTAATATATTATAAAATAATTTTTAAGAGATTTAATAGAAATTGAGAATGTGTGCAAATTAATGAAGTATACGCATTTATATAAATTATAATTGCATCTATTTTAATACTTCCAACATTTTAAGCTGCTCAATTCAATTTGCTGTTATTATGTAGTTTTCAAGCATTTAGTTACATGAACTTAATGTTTGCTACTTAATATATAGTATATATATAATTATTATATAATGATTAATTATAATTATAATATTTTAATATATAATTATTAATTATAATTAATAATTTGTTGTTGATTTGTTGATAGGGTTAAATTTTGAATTTTTAGCATTAAATTCAATTTTTTAAAAGTATTGAGAAATTTTTAAATCAAAAATTTAAGATTTTTAATTGTAATGAGTCACCATAAAATACTGAAATAATTTTGTACCAAATATGAACATTGAAGATTAGATTTTTGAAAGTTGATTATATCAACTGATAGGCTGGTTGGAATATAGGCATAAATCATACAAAATACTTTTTCTGTATATTTGCTTGCAACATTTTTATCATCTTTATATAGGAGTGATTATAGGCTGGTGATATCATAATACATTGTTAAACTTTAAAAATAGTTAAATACTAATTTCCTCATCCCTTTTGACCAAATAAGATTGGTGCACTTGACTTACACGTACTCATATATCAAATCAACATTTTCAAGATAATGAATATCTCGAAAATTGTTTTTTGTATAAAAATTGGCATTAAAGACAGCATTTACTGTAAATAATAAACAAAATAATATATGTGATAATGAAAGTAAAATAATAAATTAAATTCATCAATAAATTAACAGTATTTCACAATAAGAAAATTGAGTTTGCAGCATGGTATATTATTTTGCAAAAACAGTTGGTTTTACACAGAAATGTACATGAATGCAAACACAAATATAAAAACTATAAAAAATTGTATTTCAAATATATTTAGTAGTTTAATCTGGAGATAGATATGTTAGATAACATATCAATCTCCATAATAACTACTAAATATACTTGAATATATCAGAATATTATCAACATGAACATATGAATCATCATTAGAAAACAAAATTTTGTAAATACTATAAATGGCCAAATACCAATATTGGCAATTAAGTAATATAAAATTTGAGAAAAATAAATTGTAATTACAATGATTAGAAAAGCATGATATTATTAATATTAAATTTTTTAAAATAAATATTATTAAATATGACACAGTTAAAAACATAATGTCAACATATGAAATATTACAAGAATAAATTTTTGTGATATTTCATATCTTGACATTATCAAGCTTTCTTATTGTGTTAACCATGCTAAGTAACAAGAATAATTTTGAAAAGTAATTAGCAACAATATAATATAATACTGCCATAATTACAATTATTTTATGACTGTGTAATATTAAATTTTAATAGTTTAGAATTAATTTTANATTTAAAGTGAAATGTTTCTAAGCTTAAAAGTCTGTGTTCATTTTATGTATTTTTAAAAAATAAAATGTTTATGAATTACAATTTGAATTTTCAAAAATGGTCAAGTAACTCTGAAGATGAAGGAATTGTCTTTTGAAATTGTTCAGCTTATGTCATTCTTGGATCCTGTAACCACAGTTTGCTCTAGTTAAATTTCTATTATCAACAATAATTTGGTGCCTCCTGGAGAAAAAAAAATATGAAAAAGTTATAATTGTTTAAAAAAAAATTATTAAACATTAAAAATTAACAGTGCCAATGTTGCATAAATTTCAAGCAAGATATTACAATTTTTAAAAATCAAAAAATTATAGTACTTCTATTTTCCATAGTATATCTTACTAAAACTTCACAAACTATATAGAATATCAATTAATAATATAAAGCTTTAAATGTAATGCACTTATTGTCAAATTTACACTACATTATATAAATTCATTGGGACTATGCTGGCTGCTATTATCTCTTCTTACTTCATTTGCTTGTCTCTGTTCTTGATCACAGCTGATATTATCTGTATTTGCAGATCTCTACATAGAAAGCAGACACAGTTGAAATAGTTAAGATTATACACTCTGCCTGCAAGCAGTGATGCTGCCACATAAAAGTACCATAATCAGATCAATTGTAATTGCTTTTTTCGATAGAGGAGTTAGTTTGTGTTAAAATTAGGAAAAATTTAATTGTGCCATGAAGAACAACTATATTTTGATATAAATTCCACAAATCAGTAGATGATTTTATCACCTTTAATGCCTTCAGTCTGCATAATTTACACATGTTACACCTACTTTGAGTCAGTCTTGTCTATAACCAAGTTTATTAAAAGGTTACATTCAATTTAAGGTAGTTATTTTTTACATTATTATTATTTTTTATATTCTATATTTTGTCTTATATGCATCAATTTTAAATGAATCAATCTTTATGTATAATTCAACATACTTTTCTCTTCTATTTACATTCCAATTTTATTGGTTTTATTTCAGTATATTTTCAACCTTCATGTCATTTTCCAACAAGCCTGTCAGTTTGGTTTATGCTATTAAATTTAATCTCATCATAAATAAAATTGTTGAAAAATAGTATCATTTTTATATAAATTATGTAGTATCTTTAAAAATTTATGAATTATATTATACAGAATGTGCTTATAAGAATATATGCCAAATTTAAGATTGTAATTCATTCTATTGACATGTTCAATATAGTTTAATATATGTAACAATAACATTCCACATTAGAATATCTATAATAAATTTTGACATTAAATTCTATATTTATGTACTGGATGATTAAACAAAAGTAAAACTCACAAGTAGTAGTATCAAGAGTTAGTGACATTGTGAGTGAAACTTTATGATTCTGAACAGTAATGCAACTTGCATAGCTGGCTCTTATGTTGTCAAGTTGTTGAATAATATTGCCAAACTCTTTGTACCACTTCTGCAGAATTATATTTTTGGTTGATCATCCAGTAATTCTTAACCAAAGAATATATAATGCTTATTTATAAGCAAAAATAAAAAAACTGATAATTTTTTATGTTAGTCAGCTTCCCTTACGCACATCATCACTACCATTGTCTACCATTGCCACTGATAGATTATTAGAGAATAAATTGTTAATATATTGTTAATTGATGACATAACTGAGTTTTGCTAACTTTAAACAATTTTCTCCCATTTTAAATGCTCATATCATTAACATATTACAGTAGAACCTTGAAAACTCGGCTCTCGATAACCCGGCACTCCGGATAACTCGGCCACACCCTGGCAGGGCAAAAAAATCCTTAGTTAATTAATTTTTATTTATAGACAGCTTTATAAAAGTATAAAAGCTCTCATAAAGTATTTTTCTGAGGTCTGTCTTATCAGGTGAATTACTGTACACAGTGTATTCATTAATTTTTTCATTTTCATGTAGTAAAGGCTCTATGCCTTCATAAAGGTCGTACTTTTCCTTTGTTTAATGGTATTTGGGCAGTTTATTCTCTGTTGTATTCTCAAGCAAACAATACATACAAGTACAGTACAGTATTTACTTATCCTTTTTTAACCCCATTCCCGATAACCCGGAAATTTCACAAACTCGGCCACCCTTCGGTCCACATTAGGCTGAGTTTTCGAGGTTCTACTGTACTATTATTGTAACACTTTTCAAATGAATTTTTGAAATTTTAGCCAACAAGATTATTCCAAAGTAAAATGCAAAATTTTAGATAATTTTTATTGGAATCATTGACACTTCTCTAAATTTTTATTATTATTAATGATAAATAAAATTCAAAATTGATATAGAAATTTTTTATAACAATTTTGAATTCATAAAATGATATTAACAAAATCTAACATCTATTAATTACAATGGATGAGTTTCTATAAATTTTGTATTTCTCAAATTTATAAACTCTTAAAGAGAGGAAAATTTTAGATTTTGATAAAATCAAAAACATTTTATCAATTATTATAAAATATTAATGAAAGCATCCTTTGAAAGGTTTCTGATTAAATTATTATTTTTTATCAAGTAATATTTAAAAATAGTTTTAAAATACAGAGTGGCTGAAAATTTAGATAACCAAGTTTGCTTGTTATTTGTGATTTAATTGTTTTGTTGAAACCAACAAATCATAAATAATAACTGTTCTAAATCTTCTTTAACCATTATTGAAATATATTTCAATTAACTGACTGTTGAGCCACCCCAAATTTTAAAGATTAAGATGCTAAGAAAAAATTTAAAAATTTTATCAATAATTGCATCTATAATATATTATGTCAATATTACATTAATTAATAAAAATATTAAAAGTATCAAACTTTTGGAAACATAAAATACAAATATTTTAGATTCTTTTATTTGATATATGTAATTCCTTTAAAGTTAAAAAAATATTTTATTTTTATGAAATTAATAATTTATTATTTTTATTTGAAAATTGTCTTAAATATTGGAGAAAAGTAAAACAAAATAGAAATTTATAATAGGTAATTAACATTATTAATCTGTTATAGATAACAATTATATTTATTAAATATATCAGTTAAATATTAAATATAGCATTTATTTTTTTTTCACTTTGTGTCACAACTTTTTCATGGAAATTACTTTTATTTACATTTTTACTTATCATAGCTCAAAAATTTATCTTTAAAAGCACATAAAATATTCTTATGTTTACCTACTACTGATTTTATTAGCTTGAATGTTTTTTGAGAAATTCTGCTATTAGAGACAAGGAATCACAGAATAGTTGATAAGTCAGTTTATTTATTTTTATAGTTAATTATTCCATTGTTTCGTTTTTTTTTTTGTTTTTTTTTTGTCCTCTGCTGATGGACTAAATTAGTAATTTGACACAAATATATTTTGTGTGTTTGTAAAGACAAAACTTAAAGATATTGTTAAAATTTTTTGAGAACATTACACAAATTGGCATTTGTATCTTTATATGAGATATAAAGAATATTTTACAAATATTTATTTTATTTTATGCAAAGTGATCCAAATAACATTACTTGGTGTTTTCTTTGAAAAAAATTTGATTAAAAACTTGACTTTATGCATTTGTGTTAACTGAACTTTTAAGATACAAAGCTAATATTTATCCATTATTTTTGAGAAAACATATTTTAAGATTGCAAAAATTAAAATCTTAAGTTTAACAAGAGAATTTATTTTCAATATTTTTAAACTTCTTCCATTTAAATACAGGAAAAGTATGTATTTAGTGAGATATAACTTAATCATTAAACAAAATCTATCCCACTATAAATACAGTATGAGACTATATTATTTTAAGAATTAATTTTATATCAAAAATATCAGTGATCATCATTATTACCATTTTTTAAAATTATAATTGCATCTTTTGATATATCAAGTATGTACAAACTGTATGCTTAATATATAAAGGAAATATTCACTATTATTCTTTCTTAATTATCACTCTGGTAAAGTGACGTTGAAAATGCAATCATGACTGAAGTAAGAAAATAACAATAAAACTACAATAAAAATTCAACAAAGAAATATTTTCATTCAGTTAAAGATATATAAAACATAAAAAGAATAATTCTTGAATATATTGAATACTTGGAAGTGCTTAAAAAACAGTTTATTGTTTTATGTTTTTCATGCCTTTTAAATGTATTAAACCCTGTTTTTGTTTCGATATAAGATGAATATTATATGTAAATAATGATATTTCTGTATTTATAATAGAAAATGAAAAATTTTTTCACATGCAGCGGAAAGAATATATAAATAAGTACAGCTGGATTCATGAATCTGTGCTGGACTGTTAAAAGGTGCAATAGCAGGGACCAGTCTATTTATTTAGTGAAGGGACAGATTGTTTGACGAATCTATGACAGGGTCATCGTGCGTTAAAAAAGGAGCTCTTGAACTTTATAAAACTTCCAGAGCCCTAATCGAATACTGTGCATTGCCCAATCAAGATATAAGAAACGATTTATACTGTACATCTTTGATAGGAAAGTTATATCTCACACTAATAGATTTTTCTGAACTAAAGAACGTTTCAATGACAATTTTTCCTACAAAATTACTAATGATTTTCAATATTAAAAGATAGCATAGACTAACTCTTTCATCAGATTTCGTATTTAATTACAGTCGACCCCCCATAACACTGTTTATTTTTCCATTTTATATGAATTCCATGTTGTACGAGTCACTTATATTTTACAAATACGTGTGCCGGGCTGTGAACGGCTCACATATTTGTAAAATCTAAGTGACTCATACAACATGGAATTCATATAAAACGGAAAAATCAACAGTGTTATGGGGGGTCTACTGTATTTTGAATTTTTATAAATAAGACATTTCAAAAATATATCTAACTTCTCCAAATGTAATATAAAAATAACCACTAATCTCTCCTTTACTGGAGTTCAATTTCCAAAACTACTTGTACATGAAAATTGTTTTCATGCACAAGTACTGTACTTTTGGACTCACTATAAATTTGAAGTTCTTAGCACCAAAACCGCTTTCTGCATGCATAAAATCTCGTAAATTTTACGCTTAATCCTGAAAATGGATTTACAGTGAGTGCAAGTATTTAGGTATGGAAATAAATTTTCTTAAAGTCTACTGTAGCTAAGTCTGCTTTATTATAAATCAGAGGTTAACAGTCAGTTCAAAATTAAAATTTTTCACTTCATAAATTTCACTGGTAATATAACACAGATGCACACCGATTGAATTTTTAAAAACTGAAATTTTAACAACAAAAACCGAGTAATTTTTTCAGGATCACTCTGTACAATGGAAACAAATATTTCTATTTTTGGATAAGGGCTTTCCTTTAGCGGAATTTTCCGTAAACGATACAAAATTTTATCCAAATCAAATCGTTTATACATATCCTTCACGTATATGTAATTTTGTATTCTCCAATTAATGTCTACTCGTAACTTGACTTTCAGATTATTTTTGACTTTGTTTATTTTTTGCTTTTTAAGAAACTTTCTAAATCGATATTAAATATTTTCTTATATTATTGATTGTACTTAAAAAAATTTGTTAAGATTTTAATTGTTCTAATGTTTGATGTATTAATTGTTTATAGTGTATATATGCAGAGGTGGAACTAAAGAATAGTTGATTAAAAAAAATTCGTAAATGTACACGGAAAATCAGGTACAAAAAATGGACTAAAATTATCTATAAATTCTCATCAGTTATAAATTGTAAATATATGTTACAAGTTATTATAATGTAAAGAAATTTTATAGAAAAGTTGAAAATTGAATAAGAAATATTTTCCAAAAAAACGAAAAAAATCAAATTTAGGTTTTATAGAATATAGTTCTGCCACTGTATATGTGTAAATACAAAATGTATACCTTTGTATTATTGTATATACTGTATAAGAACAAATTCAGATGAAATTATACAATCAGTAGCAATATATATATAAATATATATATATTATAATTATATAAATATAAAATAGAATATATATATTGTGTAAATCATTCAAGAAAAATTTTGTGCTTACGAAATTTCCGAGTGTATTTTTGATGTAACGCTGGAATTTGATTTATTTTGTCACCATATTTTGAAGACAAATAGATTTATTATGTAGTCCATTACATAAAATGATCATTAAAAAATAAATAAATAAATAAAAAAGAATATTTGCAAAATGTGATTGACAATTTAGCAGAGTTAATCCATCCAGTTATATATGTAAATTTAAAATATCTTTAAGGAATAAATATAATTTATCCAAATAATTTATTGATATGTATCTCAGTGTCAGAATTTATTTATATAAATACAGTAAAACCTGTCTATGGCGACCACCCACGGTTCCTTCAAAAAGTGGTCTTTTAGACAGGTGGTCGTCCAATACAGGTGGTCCTGTAATAACATATTTCCATATGTATTTTGCACACATTTTAGTCATTTCTATTAAGCAAAACTCGAGGTGAGCAAAAATAAGCGAATTTTTTCAACGATAGGGCTATATTGGTATTGTATTTTATTCTTATCGGATAACCCGATTTACAGGAATGGTCATGATATTATAAGACAGATTTAACACCAATACTTTAATTAAAGATTAATACAATACTCGCATTTTCTCGATTATAATGCACACTTTCTTTTTTCGGACTTAATTAATACGACTCGGTTGTTTTCGTTCGCTCCTCAGTTACGTGTATTACGTCTTCGATATACAAGCGCGTCCTATCTCTCCATCACTTTGCTTTTGATTTTCGTTAGTTTAATCTTATTTTAACTTTAAAAATACTGTATTTTTTTAATATTTAATATTTTCTTAATTAATTAAGTACAATAAGAAAAATTATTAATTAATAATAAAACGATTTTATTATTTTTTCTCATTATACGATTTCATTACAATTGCGGAATCGAAAAAGGAAGTAAAACTGATTTTTGCATTAATGCGTTTATTGTTTTTTGAATATTTTTCCTGCGAAAATTACTTGGATATTTATTTTTCTAAAATTATCATGGAAATAAGGTAGGTTGATACAGAAACTATTTATCGCACGTGTACTGTATATGAGCTTCAAAATAAATAAATAAAAATAGATTTTATCAAACGATGAGATCAGCCGATTAATTGTATCGTGTACAATATTTTACACCCCCAAGGAAAATACTGTAGGTCTAGGGTAAAATAAATTTTGTTTTCCCACAGTTAAACTTCGCCGCTAATTGCTGTTGTGATAACTTTAATACGATCTTCTAACGACAGCACTTTGCATTTCGGACATTTTCCAACAAACTGAAATGAATTTCCTTTGTTGCTAGACTAATTTATTAACACCTGCACCTAATTTCAAGGGTGGGAGAAGTGCCCGGGATGGGTTCGAACAAGAGTTTAGACCAGATACATTCGCGAAAGTGGTCGCTTATTACAGGTGTTGTATGTTGTTTCGGACCAAAAATCGATGCCCGCGGTCGCGTTACACAGGTGGTCGTTTAATACAGGTAACTTATACGAAGACTCTATGGATAAACTATTCCGTGCCAGAAATTTTTGCCCGTTTTGACAGGTGCCCGTCGAATGCAGGTGGTCTCCTAAGTAGTTTTCACTGTATCAGATATTAAGGTTGTCATTCAACACCATTTCATAAATATTAATATATTTCAACTGTGATTTTGATGTTATTAAAAATGAATTTTAAACCCCAATTTAAAGATTTTTAATCTAACAAAAAATGGGCCCAATTAATTAAACTTCAATAAGCCCCAGAGCGGTAGGCTGCTACCTTGACCGCTCGGCCATCCGGCCGTCTACGAAATATAGTAATTGGCCAATTGATGCCCAATTACTATATTTTCGTAAGACAGGTGATTTAAAAGTTATGAGGATGAATGGACTTTCCTTTTAATGTTATATAGATATAAAAACACTTTAATAATAATAGTAGTAGTACAGTAGAGTGTCGTTTATCCGAATCAATTGGGGACTGGGGTTGTTCGGATAACCAATTATGTACGGAAAAATATATTAATTTATCCCGTGTTGAAATTTTTCTCCATTGCGTGTCGCTTCGCGTTGAATTTTCGTCGATGTTAAGCCTAACGAAGACTATTGTATCGTTAAAAATTATTTTTTTATTTTGTACAAACAAAATAAATATATTGAAAAATATAAAAACAATAAAAAATTATACTTCAGAAGTTAATTTAGTATCAAAAACGTAAAATATTTGAGTAGCC